ACCCGTCTCATAACGCCAGCCTGCAGTATCCTCCCCTCATCACGTGCAAAGGGGTTTGGATCTGCTGCCTCTGCCTACCCGTGGGCTGCCCCCTGCAACCCTACACCTACTAGGCCTTGCCAGGCCTACAGCCTGGGGCTTTCCTAGGCCAGAGCTCCCAGCTCCTCTGGCCCTTCCCCAGCCCTGCTCCCAATCTAGGTGTCTGGTAAAGCTCCCTGCAGCCAGGCCCTGGGCCCAGAGAGAGACTGTCTGCTTGAGCTCCTGGCTCAAGCCTGTATAGGACCAGCTGGGCCCTGACTGGGGCATGGCCGCAGCAGAGCCGGCTTCCTCCCAATCAGCCCAGGCGTTTTGCCCTTCCACAGCCCTCCTCCAGGGCTGTTTTAAACCCCTCAGGGCAAGAGCGGGTAACCACCCTGCTACGCTCCTCAAGAGCCTTTCCGGAGATGCCCCTATCCATTCCTGCTACCGGTCAGACACACTGACCTCCACCGGGGTTTTGGGGATTTTCAGATGTCCTGGGGCATTTGGGATTATCTGATGCCCCCAAGCTTTTGGTATTTTAGGGAGTTTTCAAGACATCTGGGCTTTTTGGATTTTGAGGCTTTTACGAGGCTTCAGGTATTTTAGATTTTCAGAGGCCTGGGGGCTTTGGGAATTTTCAGCAGCCCTGGGGCTTTTGGTATTTTTGCAGGCCGAGGTGCTTTTGGAATTTTGGGGATTTTCGTAGATCCTGGGGCTTTGGGGATTTTCAGAGGTCCTGGGTTTGTGGGCTTTTTGAACGCTCCATGGCTTTTGGAATTTTCTGAGGCCTCACGACTTTGTGGGGCTATTTTTTATATTTGGAGGCCCCAGTACTTTTGTGATTTTTGGAGTTCCCATGGGTTTCAGGATTTTTGAAGGCTTTGGGGCTTTTCAGAGGCTTTTTTTTGGGGGGGGGGGGTTGTGATTTTCAAAGGCCCCATTTCTTTGGGATTTTCAAAGACTGTGGCTTTGGGGATTTTTCTGAGGCCTTGGGGTTTGGAGGATTTTTGGAGGCACTGAGGCTCTTGCAATTTTTGATTAAAATCTAAGAGAATATTTTATCTGAAAACTTGGTAAAGCAGTTTTTTTGGACTGAAAATCCATTTTTTTTAATAATTGTAGAAAATTGTTAAGGGAAGCCAAGGAACACCAAGAGAAATCCATGGCCAGCAAAATTAAGGCCAATAAAAAGGAGCTTTAAAATATATCAGGAACAAAAAGAATCCTGAATGGTATGTTTTGCATTCTCTACCATACCACACCTCTGTCTTTCCCTCACCTTCAGTCTGTTTACAGGAGCTGTTACATGGAGGAGAAATTGCCTCTCCTCGGAAGAAGAAACAAAGAACAATTTTTTAACAGGATAGTCTGAATTATCTCCTGTGAAGAGAGGAGAAGGGTCTGAGTGGTTGATCCCACAGCCTGTTCTAAAGAATTGCAGTGCCCACGAAACAGAAAGCTTTGTAAGGTGTTATTGGTATGGTTATACTTTTGTTATGAGTTATAATAAATGTTGCTGCAATTCAAAATGGAGTCTAAGAATTCAAGATGTGCATATGGTAGGAAAGGATTAAACTCCATCTTGGTATCCTTTCTTCATGGCATTTTCCTGCCAAAACTCTGTTTCCTGAGAGAACCTGAGGGACTGAGAGCTGGCTGGAACCGGTTGGGGGCAGTGTCTGCCAGAGCATGCCTCAGGAATTCGCACCACAGAGAGCATATAAGGAACTGTCAGCGGTGACGTTGGTGCTGTCCACCATCAAGGCAGCCACGTCCAGTTTCTTTGCGCAGGCATCGGATCAAGACTTTGGTCACTAACATCTTGCAAGGACTTTGATACTTACCTGATATCTGATTCCTGTATTCCACCAAAGGATCCAGTGAAGACTTTGCCATCAGCTTAGATCTGTTGATCTCCTGCTTCGGCCGTAGAGAACCAGATACTCCGATGTTCCAGAGATTCTGAGAGGGTCCATCAGTTACTGGTGACCTCCATCTGCAGTGAAAGAGAGACAGTAATTGTTTTTCAGGTACAATAGTTTAACCAAGGGATGGTTTAAGGGTCTGGGCTTTATGCCCCTTGCTGGAATCTATTCTTGGGTATTTTAGTGATCCCTTTAGTGGATCTTCTCCCAGTTGTAACTATCCCTTAATAAATCTTTCTGTTTAAGGTTATATTCTCTCTATCCTTTATTTCAATGCGACATGGGTGGGAGGCACACAGATTTCTAACTCTCCCAGTTGATAGATGCTGGTAGGAGTTGAACCTGTTATTTATATGTCACCTCCTTATTATTCTATAACTGAGATTTTGGGGTAACATTTAGTGGCGACCGCAGCAGGACCTCTCAGAGATTTAGCTCTCTGATTGGAGTCCTTAGGTTGAATAGATTATGGCTTATGGTCCATAGACTCAGGGAGGGAAGGGTCTGGAACAGTGTCAGTGAGGGCGTCGGCCAGTTGGTCGGACGGGTTCCCCAGGTCACTGCCTGTTCAGACATATATTGTCTCCCCGTTTTGGTTATAGTTTATGTAGAGTGAGCTAGAGGCCCAGAGGCCGAGGTTCACTGTAGTGTAGGATTCTGCTTATGCCAGTAGCATGGGGAGCGGATCCCAGCAGCCTGCAGCAAGGCAGACTGTCAAGTTCTGGGTTAAGTGGACCTGGCCAGTCACTTAATCTAAGGCAGAGGTGGAGGATAAGGCCCTAACTGTCCATCTCTAGGACAATTGTCCATGGTCATGACCGAGCACTGCTGGATTCTGAAAGGAGGCAGCTGTGGGTTCTCATGAGTTACTGACCATAGGTGACTAGCCACCACAAGTTTAGGTCGGTGGGCTATTCGGCTTTGACATAACTGCTGTCTGTTTTATCCGTGGTAAGCAAGTGAAGTATGGAGAAGGTCTTCAGCCTAGAAGGATGGTCCCGGCAGTCTAATAAAAATAGTTTAGAGCATGCAGTGTCTGTTTTTGGGAAATCTCAAAACCCATGGAAGAAAGGGGCTTTCTAGGGAGATGAAGCACTACAAAAATTACAAATATTGTGGGGATGGTATTTAGCAAGCAAGCCAGTTCCCAAGCAAAAATTACAGAAGCGAGCGTTGATTTATGGACTCGCCACGGTGTGTAGGGACCTGTGTGGTAGGGTGAGTCACCTTAAAGCCCTAGCCAACCAGGCAAAAGATTAGGAGAAAACAAATGGGTTGGAATTGGAGAAGGCAGTGGCACAACATCAGATGGATTCTGCCCAATTGACACAACAAACTAGGCAAATCATGCAGCTAGAAGAACAGCTGCAGGAGGCCAATTCATGCAGGGCAGGGGTTGAAAGGGAAAATCAAATCCTGTCCACAAAATTAGAAGAGGCCCTAGCTACTATCAGGCAGCTCCTGTGGGAGGCCAAGCAGGCTCAAGGGTCAGAAGTAACAAATCATTCAGCCTGCTTGAACAAGATTCAGAAGCTGCAGCAGCAGCTAAAGATCTCTAGGGGTATGAAAACGAACCCGCTAGCTGTGTTCACTTCTGGGGAAGATTCAGACGTAGAATCTGAGGAACATAGGGACGATCCACCCTGTTGTTCTACAGCAGAAAAAGTTATTCCATCAGCACCATTGAATTTAGATGAAGGCCCAAGGGTGACAGGACAAAGTAATCCACCGATTGCCCCGATCACTACTATAGTTACGCAATATGGGGCTCAGGGGCCCACCGAGACGCTCTATGAAACAAAGGTGTTATCGGCAGAACAAGCAAAAGCTTTAGGAAAACAGCTGG